AGTTTTCCATGTAGCTCAAGAGGAGATTCATGAGCATGTTCGTGAAGAAAATTGATTTTTTTCCCATTGTATCTTTAACTTGCAAGTATCGGTACGTCAAAGAAACACCATGGTGAACGTTGGAAATGTCGGCACCTATTGTACACTGTGCATACACGCTGCGTGGTAGAGCTCCCTACTCCTCTTTCTCTTTCTTATTCCTTGCACTCTCCACCTGGATGCTTTCAGATTAATTGTTGGAAGAGTAACACTCTCCGGAGGACACCCCCAGCACCGGGGCCTGTTGCTGTTTCAGGTGTTCTGCACCTGCTCGTTCTCCTCCCCTCACATCCTGAGTAACCCAGTCCTTCGGCAATGATTAATTTAAATGGCATAAAACCTCTTTTCCACTAATGAAACACAATAAATAAATAGTTATTCTTTCATTACCATAGTTTCTGCCCATCTGAAAATATTTCACTCAGCTGACAGAAATGATGCAAAATTCCCATTTCCTTGAAGTAATAAAGGGAAAGGTGTTCTTTAATAAAATGAAAAGGGATAGTTGCCAGATGCACAGTTTTGGAGACTACCGTCTATTGGAAACATGAGACAGAGCCCTTGAGTGCAGATTTCTGCTCTGAAGATGCAGACAACTGGGCCAAAGGAGGCCAGCATCGCCCCCGGGCAGCTCTGGGAAATTCAGAGCGAATCACTTTCCCACCAAACAACCTTTACTTCTACTCAAGGACTGCCTGAACAATGGTTGAGTTGAAGATACTGGTCATTTAGGATATTTTCCTATGCAATTTTACTCTGGCTCCCTTTGGGTGGAGTGCAGCTCCAGTGCCCCAAACGCCCACGTCAACCCACACGTCCTGCTCGCCTCCCACTGAAACTGGAGCAGGGGGGCATGGCACCAGCACGGCTCCCACGGCATGGCATCGGCCCAGGAGGTACAGCACTTGTGCAGCCAGGGAGCGTGTACCATTCCCGTCTGGAGTAACAACCAGCAGTATTAGCTGGGACAGCGATGTTTCAGAATACCAGGCTTTGGCCAAACTGTTCCCACTAAAGACATCACGAGCATTCCCACTGGTTTCTGTGGCAAGGGTTGGGCCAGTGTCTTTTATTGCTCCATCCTATATGAGGAGTTTGAAATATTCCTTGTCATGCAGTCAAACAGAATAATTGTACCAGCATTTAAATCCGACTGGAAGGCACGGCCAAACTCTTTTCTGGCTCGTTTAACCTTCCTAATGCCAGCATTCACATGGAGGTTTCCATACAGCCTGTACGGGGCCGTGTGAAACACAATCCTTTCCCATACAACAGAGATTTTCTTCCAGGATATATACTGAAGCAGATGAATTAAAAATTTCGTTTCTGTGAGCAGTTGTGCAGGTAAAATGTAACTGCTTAAATCCAGACACAGCAGCTATGCACAATCAGGAAGAACTTGTGTTTAAGTTTCTGTAAACAGACGCTGGGACTATGTTTTGTGGGTGATTTTCTAACTCTGTTTCCTTTCACTAGTGATTTCAAAATAAAGTGCAGATTACTCTTCATATGGTTTACACTCAAACCCTGATATGGACACAGAGGCAAAATGTGCCATAATACTTGAAGACATTTGACAAAAACTTAACGATGTATTTCGGATAAAAAAAATAAAACTGCAGACCTATAAAGAGGTTTGACTTTGTTGTCCTCTAATGTTAAGCCTGACCATACTGCCTAAAAAGCTGATGAAAGGATGCAGAGTAATTGAGATTTAATGGCATTTTTCCTTTAAAAAGCTAAAAGGCAAGGTCTGTATGCCCCTCTGTGCTGCGACAGCCGCTAATTCTGTAAATTCTGCCCCACCAACATATGCAAACTGCTCAATATAATTGGAACAACCCCATATTAACTGACTTTTTAAAAGAAAAACTGTTAAGCTATATTCTCTTCAGGTCTAATTACACTGAGATTACTTTGATGAGAACAAAGTGGCACATTTTTGTCTGGTGCTGAGATCACTTAAGATGGGACATGGAAAACAAAAATTGCCTATCCTGAGGCATAGCACAGTATTTGCCTATAACAATTGCAATAACTTTTATTGTATTTTATATTAAGATTTTCACACAGATAGTACTACTGCTAAATTTTAGTTAGTTAATTTTCATTTGTTGCTATCTTAATTGTTACAAAGTGCTCAGATTTGCAAAGTAATATCAAGGTGTACAACACAAAAACATGTTCAGTCTATGCCTTCAATAATTTCTTTGTTGTTTGAAAACTTCCAACTTACAGCAAAGCTGGCATTTTATGGCCTGCAGAGCTATAAATCATTTTTAAAATCATGGTGATATTACTCAAAACAGATGTGAAAACATATGTTTGCCACGGCTGTATAAACCGCTTACTTGTCATACTTAATAAATGTTGATACTTTTATTTTAACTACATTCCTTCTTAATAACTTTGAAACTCTTTTCCGTGGTAAATATATTTTGCCTTAGTAAAAGTAATGGCAGGTTTTGAAAAACAAAGCTTGTTCTGTATACTGATTACACACGTATTTTTTGCTGAGCAACCCAGCACAGATCACACTCCTCAGTGACTGTCCACATCTGACTGAAAAACACTCAACGTGTTTGAGGTGCACCAGAGCCCAAAATAATTACACACAGGAGAATAATAATACTATTAGGAACAAAGAAGTGAGACAAATCATTGAGGAATGACAGCACTTGTACGGGGTGAGAGAAAGGCCCAGCACACACAGGCTGGGGATTTTCAGAGGCAGAGTAAGTCCATCAATTAACTGGGTGCTTGTATCCTATAAAACAGTGATTCCTACAGGAACTGTAATACAGGTCTGTCACACTGCCAAATGCAAAATCAGCTTGGAATTGCTGGATATATAATGTTGGTGCCTTTAAAATTTCAGCATTTGTCCCATTATAGTGTAGTCAAAAGGTTTTGGTCCTGGAGCTGTGGGATCACTTGAAAATTACATCTGCATTCAACAGAAAGAAATAATTTCTCATTCTCATGTTGTCAGAGAAAAATTTGAGCTGTGCAGACTAAGGAGAAAAACAGAAACCTTATTCCTTCTTTAAAATGATAATTTAACATTTCTCATGGTTTTGAAGCACTTTTTTTCTGATATAGGTGAATCTCTGAACACTAACTTCATCCTAAAAAAATGCCCTAAGTGCATGCAGAAGTTAACACATGTATAAAAACGTATTTCTCAGTACAAAATCAATTGAAGATAATACTATACAGAAATGTGAAACAGGAAATTAATAAACCTATACAACTTTAATCTTAAGGTGAATTATGATACACAAAATGTCAGTATCAGATCTTTGACATTTTGTACATGCTACAAGGAACATTCAGGAGCCTGGGAATTGGGTTCACAGGTGGTGGGGTTTAAATTATTTTCACGCTTTTTGGGATTTCTGAATTGTCTTTTCTCATTCTTAAACTGTACCTTCCTTCACCCGTCCTGAGTGACAGGACTGCTACTACCAATAACTACATGATTTGCCTCTTAGAACCCCATAGGATATTGAATTGTTTTGCTGAAAAATGACTAAACATGTGGCAAGAAACCATGCACAGTTCAACAAAATTAAAATCAACTACACTTTCCAATTTAGATTAAATACCTATGTAATTACTACAGAAATGCAATTTTTTAATCTTAGGTTGAAGGAACGATTGATAACAGTTTAGCCTCTGACGTTGGTCTGTAAATGCCAACAGGAGTCAAGCGGGAATGATTTAAGCATGATGATCCAGACAGAAAATTACCTCAGAATGGCACAGAAGGGCTCTTTTGGGGTTCATGAGGAAAGTGCTTAAATGCCTAGAGAAACCAGTGAATAGAAAACAGCTTTTTCTGCTTTCAAGAAGAGAGAGAGTTGAGTACGAAAATAGGAAGTATAAGGAGGAAGTTTCAGGTTCTTCCTACCCATGACTGGATCAGTCACAGATGTCTAAGGAATAGAGCTGATCATACAAAATCATGAATCTGCTCAAATAATTTTATGTAACTCTGGAACCACCAGGCACATGGAGCCTCCAAATTCTCTTTTGAGTAGCTCATAAAATCACCTACACCTGTCTTTTTAGTTTTCCCAAAAATACATTAAAATCACCTCCACCGAAATATAAATCAGTTTGTGTTCTCATTCATGATAAACTGTTCCAGTAGACTTGTAAGTACATTTAGCTTATGTTGTCTCCTCTTTGAGTCACTTCTCTGTCTTTTCCTTCGCATCTTGTTCACTCCAAAACTGTAATACCTCCCTCAGTATACGCCTTTGCAGTATTTTTCCAGTACTCACTTACCTTCAGGTTTCTTTTATTTCATTAACTATAACCCACATTTTTTTGCAGGCACTTATTTTGTACAGTGCTTGAACAAACCTCTCACCTACCAGTATGATTTATTTTTTGGTTATATGTGCAAGGAAACAAAACGGCAGCTTCTTCCCTGACATGCAGACACAGATGCCAGGCGCTCTCTGTCCCTACAGCACTTCCCCGAGCACGTCCCTGCCTACGGGACAATTGCTACAGGTCAGACATCACTCCTTCCCTTGCTGCCTCCCCTTTGTGAGGTAATGTAATGTTATTAGACACAAAAAATGGTCTATTTCCCTCACCTACCTGCCAGCATTAGAGAATTCTGCACACACATCCACTGTAGGCAAAGAAACAATACCACATGACTAATCAAATATTAGCTAGGAACTTCATAAATAATTGAGTCAAACGACCGGCAAAATATTAGCCCCATACTACATAAACAGACAGAAGCAAAGATCCGATTGTTTACCCTTCCTAAGGAGAACGCCACGTAAATTCACTGGATACATTATTCATTGCAATTAGGCACTTAGCTCTCTTAAATTTATAATATTATGTCATTGTACATGCAGAATACTAGAAAAAGGAATAAACCACATAATAAGCGTAATTAAGTGCCTGAGATGGGAAATGGTCTGTAACTTTACCTTTCTCCTTTTGTATTTTTTTTAGGCTGGTCCCAGTTTCTTGATCAACGAGTTCTCCTTCCCTGCTGTTGGTCAGCATAGCTAAAAAACATCAGAGTGCACAGATATATAACACTGCCAGTAAAATGTGTCAGAAGAGAGGAAAATAGTAAATTACATTTCCCCTTCATCAATATTTTGGTATTTTAACATTTATTTATAAGTTCTAAAGCAATGCACCATTTTTATTGTCCACAATAAACCATTTCACTGTCCCAGTTCAGCACTCGGAGCCAAGTGAAATAAATGAGCAAAACAAATTTGCTCAAGTTGATTAAATAAAGATACCAAGATAGAACGCAAATTACTACTCAGGTGAATGTGAATTCTTATGAAATGTTCAAATTAAGTAATTAGAAAAGTAATTCACAGAAATAATTTGTGGCAAAAGGATTACATTTAAGGATTTAAGTATTAGTGGTTATCTATAAAGCAGCAAGGTTAAAAAAAAAAAAAAGAGATATAGATAGTAATCCAAATTGATAGAGGACAGTGAAAAAACAATATGTTGTAGTGCTGAAAGAAATTTGTAACACCTGCAAGCTCAGAGAGAGGTGTTAATTTTGATTTCAGGGTGCCTATTTTCTTTGTTCTTATTTGATTAAAACATTTCCTTCTCTGCAATTAGCCAGTTATAAAACTTCAAGTTATTCCAGTGAGGACACTTGTTAAAAACTTCCACTGTCATATTTTAGGAAAAGCTTTTTTTTTAAATTGCAAAATTTAAAATATATCTATATTTATATACGTATCTTTATAACAGGAAGTGTTAGACTTCAACACAGACAAGTATTTGGTTTAACATAAATAAAGCTTAGTTTTCTTTAAAACACTGTCAGTACCATTTCTGGAGCCCAGAGGTGTGCCCTGTGTGCTACTACTATTAATAAAACCAGTTACAGTAGCTTTCAAAAGCTACAGCGACGACAGAAGTCCCTTTTTCTTTGTTGCTATGGGAAGTTACATTTCTGGTGCAGTGTATTTCTAGCCCTATTTTACAGAAGAAGACGGTGAGGGGAATCTACTTTGCAGTCCCTGCCCTGTGTATGCAGATGTTTAGGCGAAGTAGCCCAGGTTCCAACGACTAGTTTGTGTAGAGCCGACTGTGCTATGTAGTGCCATGGTGCTGCTGCGTGGACCGGAGTCAAAACTGGAAAATCCCAGCAAACAGCTGAGTAGTTACTTCCTGGGTGTGAAGGCTACGCTGTCTTACACGGACTGCACTGTCCCTGCAGTTAAATCTAGCTCAGCAGTGCCTGCACAGGCTCCAGTCACTGTGAAGACAGCAGTGTTGACATGCACTGACGTGAAGAGATGTTAATTGACTTGCCCTAGATCCCTCTTGGAAGCACCAAGAATAGGATCTAAACTTCCTCTAGACTGAATTAGCGTTCTAAACACAAGATCAATAATGCACAGACTGTGAAAGCTCTGGTGGAGAGACCAAAAAAACCCCAAAGCCCTCTGCCTTGTGCTGATGAGGGAATGCGTGGGCATGAAGAGGTTTTTGGAACAGAAAAGTCGTCATATAATCTGTGACTTTTCTGACATACATACAAAGAAAAAGATTTTTCATTTCCAGATGCCTTCAGAGACACTTGTTTACCCCAGCATGCAAGAGAAGTTGGTCGTTCCAGAGAAGGGGTGATACCTTTTGTGCACGGGTGGATACTGGCACAGAATGAACCTGAGGGGCTGGGCTCTGCAGAGTGATGAACCTAACAAAACAAACCTATAGTGATGAACTTTCTGGGGGTTTTTAGCAAGTGAGCGCTTTCCCCAGTTTCCCAGCAAAGAAATATTTGCCTCAAACAACTTCTGAAATTCTTGAGTCAGTAACCGCGAAGGGGTGTGAGGCTGCAGGGCACTAACCAATTCTGTCTGGTGTGTTGTCCAACTGGGACGGCGAGCTGGACACGCTGCTGCTCTGATGGGAGGACCCGTGGCTCCCAGGCCGCTGACTGTCTTCTAGGGACAGAGCTGGAGAAGGGCTGTCTTGAATCCTTTCCTTGAAACAGAAATAAAACAAGGTCTGTGCAATTTGATGCATGAACTTCACTGAAGTTCAATGAAAAAATGAAGTTGGCTAAAATAGCAAGAACAAATGATCTCTCCAAGATACAGAGTGAACAGAATTCCCATTGAAAGAGCAGTATAGTCTGCTGTGGCCAAACAGAGTATTGCCTTCCACATGCAATGTAACTGGGCACAGCTTTTCATCCTCTGAGTCATGACATAGCATTTGCCACCTCTTCCTTTTTTTCTTGGTAACTTCTTATTGTCTAACTTTTTCACACATGGGGACATAAAGAACATTATTTCATGTTGTTTTCACAAACTATTTTTAACCTACAGATACTAAAAATTGACATATGAGTCACATTTAAAATAACCCATTCAGATTTGTGTTATAAACAGTCACTAAATGCAGCCAAATCTGTAAACTCACTAGAATCTGTACCTCAATAAATTGCATCAATATCTTCTCAGCATAGCACCCACAAAATTCTAAATGCTGTGGCACTGGTAAGAACTTCACTTCTGCATGAAAAGCACCACTGGCTAACAAAAATAAGAAAGCGCTTGCAAATTCTCCAGTGTACATTTGCACACAAACCTTTGATGCTAACCTCTGATTTAAATATACATAGTACTTTAGGTAAGGGGGAAAAAAAGGGTAAGAAATCATATAAATTTAGCAAAATGAAATGCTGCAGTTCTGTGTATCTATAATTGCAGGTTGCCTGAAGACGACGTGGAGTTTTCAGCAGTAAAAATCTTTAGAAACAGGTTACACAAGCGTGACGTAAGTAATAATTCCTCGTGTCCTGGGACAGGCAAGAGATTATATGACCACTTGAGATCCCTTCCAACCCAACGATCCCACATTTTTCTGAATTAATTCAAAGTTCTAGTATCCTTAATTCCGGTCTCCAGGACCAACAAAAATGAGAATCTTCTAAAAGGGGCAGATCATGGTCTGACATACTCTAGACATTCTTATCTTAAAATCCTTCCTGTGCTTTAAATCCTCTATTACAAGTTCTTGAAAGCGTAATCCCGATGGAGACACACTAACAAGGACACGCTTGAATTTACAGAATTCCAGAAACTGCATGTTTGGAGTGGCTCTCATCCCTGGCAATCAGCTGTTCCCTGTGGAAACTCAGAACTGAAATATTACTTTCTTTTTTAAAAAAGGGAGATCCTCTTGCCCCCACCTCATTAAAACCCACAATTACAGTGTAATCTGGGGAAGCTGTCTCACAGGAACTTTGCAATTTTTCTGCCTTTCTAACCTATTCTCACAGATTTTTCATTAGGCGCATGCAATCTGGCTGCTTGGTGGCAACGTACCATGTGCTTTTGAAAATACACTCAACAGCATCTAACTTCTTACGCCATTTTCGCTGGACAGTATCCTAAATCAATAATACAGCTTTAGGAAGAGAATGGTAGATTCTAATAGTTTTTCCATTACAAACAGCTAGCATCGTAGCTCCTGTTCATAACCTACCGAGGCAATTCATTAGTAACCCTGGCAGTAAGATCGACATCTCAAGAACATTCTCTTACCCATTAAAACCACCCCTCTAAACCACACTCATCTTCATATTCACAGATACATTTGAGAATGATGCAAAGGGAATGTGAGACTGGATCCTCCTATGAGAAGGGGGCGGCAGTTGTCTGTTCCAATCACACCAGCTGAAAACGCAGCACTGAACGTGTTTTTAAGAGGATAGTTATTGTACATTAAATAACAACTGAGCCTCAAAATCATGTAACAGATGTGTAGCTATTACATAGCTGCTAATCCTCAGGGGATATGTTTTTACTCATTATCTGCTATTTAATGAACATACAATAACTAATAAACCTTAAAGGGAGACTTTTAATTGCAGTATTTTTGAATGCTAATTAAAAATGTTTAGTAAGTTTTAACAGATATGCATCTATTGTGCTGAGTCACGAGTTCTTACAATTATGAAAACTGAATGGTTTTAAACAAACAAATTTTCAAGTTCGGGGGGGAAAAAAGTGAAAGTCACTGATCTTAAAGTATCCTGTGTCGTCTTCTTCTCAGTCCCCGAAAAAGTGGTTTTACAGGTTACTGAGATGAGTGGAAGAGTAATAGAGTCATGACTTACTCTGGGGATGGGCTGCTTATTAATTTACTTTTACAATTCATATTCTTACTCCAAGAAATATTCTAAATAAATGATGAATCACATACATGCAAACCTGAGCTTATAAATACTATGGTGTTTTTTTTACTTTTGTGTAAATAATAGCTGCCAAATAGGTTACTGCTAACAGGCTACTACTCTGTAATTATATTTGCCTGGATTTCAGTTTTAACAGTCCCCCTTTGGCACAATTTCCCCACTTTTTACCACAAAGACTACTCAATTTACAATTAAAATACCATTTTGAAATTAATACTTTTACAGAAGAGTACACAGTTTAAGTAAATGTCATTGTCTACTGCAACCATGAAGATGAATAGCCAAGGAGAGGACATGCCAACTGTTCTGCAAAAAAAAAAAAAACCTATGAACAAATATGACTATGAATTAACACTTCGATATCACACAAACAGCCATATATGTCATCTTAAATGGGAGTTATCTGAGTAATTCAAAAGCTGATGATTTGGAAAAGCAAAGTATTTGAGCTCCTTCTGGTAACTGCATTTCCCATTGTCTCTTGTTATAAAATAATCTCTGCTTCAAGTAATCTGCCTTCAAACTCAGGGTCTTGGTTTGAAATGTTCAGGCAGAAATAAAAGTGTCAAATAATAATGTCATTCTTAATCACACAGTGAATCACTTTCTAAAAGAATTAGTTGATTATGTCATCTAGCGTCTTACCAGTTACAAAAATTTACATAGACAGGGAAGATACACTTTTGCCTATAAGCAACGAAGGAACTGAAATTTCCTCTGTATCATATGCACTACAAATGAGGATAGAGTATCATCCTTTAAGACTGCATATGGATTGAGAAATCATCTATTTCTAAATGTTTGTGTGGAAATGTAATGCTGAATTTCCCGTACTATAATGAATAACACCATGAACAGATTCTTTTTGCAAGTAAACAGATCCATTTTTCAGTCCTGTAATCAGTATGCATCTATTTAGCTACTTAACAGCAATGTGCTCTGGTTCATTAGGTAGCTACTGTTGTGTCTCAGCCTAGTTAAAATTTCACAGCAAGTTAATCTATTTTATTACAAATGAGAACACAAGTGATAATGTCCTCACCATTTTCCAAACAGAGGGTTAACAGTATTTGTAACAAATCAATGAGGGCATTTAAATAGGAAAATTGCAAATCTAAAACCTTAACATTTTTTTGCACATTGATGACTTCATTTTATTTGTCTTCTATATATTTTACAACCTTGTTACTTTTCATAGCTTTTTTTTCCCTCTTGAAAGTATCTCAGTTCCCACCGGCACACTGCTGAGCAGCCTGGTTCTACAGCAGGTACACTCACAGGAATAGAGAAGAATTTCTAAATAAAGTCATATTTTCTCCATTTATATTTCTTCCTAGTTCATAAATTTGCCAGATTCATATTCCAGGTTATAATGTAATGAATGATATGTATAAAATTAACAGATTGTGGGAACTTTATGAAAAAAGAAAACATTTCTCAAAATCTCACCTATTTATCTAACTATAGTACCTACTTTGTCTTATCTTTTCTCTTCCCTTTACAGAGCTGTAACATAAATTCTCAAAAAAGACTTTTGCAGTATTTAATCCTTTTGAAGGGTAATATATTTCTGTCTCACTAAAGATCAGTGTCTTGCTTTGGCCCAGAAAATGTAGCTACAAAGCTTGACATTGTTAATTTTAGCTGTGATTTAGGTTAACGGCACTGAAGTCATCAACTCATCCAATTTCCAGATACATCCTTGATTTCACCTCAATATCCCTTTTCTATCCCCTGTGAGGTAGTATTCCACACAAATAATATGAAACACTACATAACTTTCACCCACACTGGTTTTATTTGAAATATATATGAACAGCTTACCTATTTTTGACATAATCATCTTGACCTTAATTCCTTGCCTCTGATTTTTTTATAGTATTGATCTTGATTTTGTGTCAAGAGTTTAGAGAAATGATGCTGCTGGATTTTCCTTTATTTTTTCTTTATTCTTAGTTCTAATCTAGCTGTAATTACTCTTCCAAATGTTAATCTATTAATGAGTTCCTAGAGGATTTAATGGCATTTCACTGCTGACAAGCAGGTTTTGGAAGTTTGTCTGAGTCCTGGATATTTTATTCAGACATTTATCTTGATATTTCATATTTAATTGAGGTGCTGCTTCTGTACTCTACAGGGCTCTGCAGTGGCAGGAGAGCTGGAATTCACCAGATCTCGCTAATGAAAGGGAGAGGAAGGAAAAATGGGCATTCTACTCTCTTTAGGTCTATACTAGAGTTTTCAGCTATTTTAAGAAAGATTTAGAGAGAGGACAATGTTGGAAAAACAGTGTTCATAGGTTCTGGCAGAATAAACGTTCCAACTTCAATTTGCACACTACTTCCCCACTGGAATGTATACTGTGCCACAACTCAATCTCCCAGCGACTGCCAAATCATCATTCAGATTCTCAGAATGGACGACAAAGTTAAAAATAATGTAGAAGCCAGGGTCTCATTTCTCTGGAGGGGTCTGTGAAGCCAGGAGCAGTCAGCCAGTAGACTGGCTGCAGACCTCCTCACCTCCTGTGCAAAACTGCCACCTCTTCATGCCTGCAGGATCACTGCTGCTATCTCCCTGGCTGAATCCCATCCTCAGTGAGAGAGAAGAACAAGAAAAGTTAACACAATTTCAGTTAGTAGCGAACTGAATTGTTAATTTTTTTTAACTTGTTGTTAGTTAATACTAAGACACGTACTCCTTTCCAACTGACCTTAGTTGATACTATTTGAATGCTAATAACGAGTACATTGTTAACAGTGTTCTAAAGTTTACAGTC